AGGGTATACACGAGCATCGTAAGTATGACGTTGGCCGTGCACATGAGACCAACCGAATGGAGTGCGAAGGTTAGTCTACTTACCGCTATAGCAAGCGAACCAGTCAGGTCCGCAATAGCCGGATTTCTTCGAGTAGGCGATAAGCTTGATGGTAGGAGAGGAAACGAAAGGAGCAATGAGTGATTTGCGTGCTTGCTTGCACTTATGAGGAAAAACCGACGAGCACGACAGGTCGCGAACGATGACGTCACATGTGCCGGAGTATTGAAGCTGGCCACGATCCGCTGCCTTGACCCTAACCCAACCCTCTTCTCCTCACCCTCCAGCCCATCTTCGGAGGCAAGGGACTTCAAAATCGCTTTCGATGGAGGCATCAAGAATCGATGACTTGAAGGGCAACGCAGTAGCATCAGACACCATGCACTGGACAAGTTGCCATGGACTTGGGGGACCGCAGGAGACTTTGCTTATGCTGAGCACGCAAAACTGATGTGTGAGAAGCAAGGGATAGATCTGGCAGGATAGAGCTGTGAAACCAGTTGAAGCCCGCTCGGGGAGAGCGATCGACGACGAGAGACAGTACTTGGTAGCGGTGACGGGTGAGGTGTGCTGCGGGTGAAGGAGCGATCAGCGCCGTGGATGGGCGGCAATTTGAGCGACAGAGGCATACAGTCTCACCCGTGCACATGTCATTCCCATTCTGTAAGTATGTCAATCAATGGTCAATCTATAAGTTATATATGGCGAGTTTCTTGCAGGCAATGTCATTGCCATCAAAATCCCCGACGGCCTTATTATCGACTCGCCCCGCCAAGGTTTGCAATGGCGAGCTTATGCGTTCCAATTCCCTGCTTGCCAATTTTGGTGTTACCATTCCGGGCACGCATTGCATTGCCACTGCCACGGTTCAGCACATTTGCTGATGAACCCCCCATCCTGAGCACTCTCCACGGTGTGTCGAATGCTATCGTAATTTTGCGCACAGGCTCGAAAGAGACAGATGTATGTACTCAGCTACTCTTCCACAGCGCCACTTGAACAAACGGAAATCGCGTTGTCTGGTCTTGAGCTGGGAAATAGTGCGACACACTAGTCGGCACTGAGTTCCTGAAGGCCCAGTTCGTGGTGCATGACAACAAGCAATGTCTGCAGTTGTTTTGCCTGCAAGCAGATAAGCGCAAGCCACCAACCATCCACTCGCTCCGGGTATGCGACCAGACCACGAAACGGCTCATACAAATGTATGAGCACAATCGCGAGTTGCCACTATCAGTTGTACAAGGCTAGTCGGTCTTATTACCGAACATGTTGCTGCACACACATCCGGTTATGGCCCCGAACCAAATCCATTACTATGTTCGTTACACATTA